TATATATATAGAAAATTATTATATATGCTAATACTAATATATATTAGCATATATAACATAATATATATTATATATGCTAATGCCTATATACATATATATTTATATACAATACATATTCTCTCTCAAAGTCGTTATTCGTTATTCGCGAATATATTTTTTCTGACAGTACTATATATGTGCCACCACAATTCCCGAAAACTTTACTAACTGGCGAATTTATACGGATACACTCTTCTCATGTGAAAATAACATACGAACATAATAATCCGAGACATTCGCCGTCGACATTATATAATTAGTGCCTTTTTGTTAAAATTACGGAAGATTACTAAAGTACAATATTAACGAAGAAGAACTATTACATATTTAATTATTACATCACATAGTCGCAAAGTTCCGACATACTCTGATGCTCCTTTTGCACAAATTTGAAACGAATACACGCTTACACATTCGTTACCACAAACGACATATACTTATCAAGTATATAAGCATATAAACGAAGCAAAACCAAAAACTTTGGATAATACACCGCCATTGTTGCAAGTCGAGTAATCGTGCGTTAATGTTCCAATATATGATGTTTTATGCGCATATCACCGAACGATCGCTTTATATCGTCCCGAATAAAGTTCACTGCAAATTTTACGAAATAAAAATGGTATATGTAAACTGTTGCAGAATCGCAGGTGGATTGCGCAGCACGCGAGACACATGATGATTCAAATATATAGCGTATATTAATAATCCCATGTATTAATAACCCCATTGCAATCCAAGTTTCCTTAAGGAAACAACGAATGGCGGCGCACAATCTTCACACTTCTTCGACACAATCGTATATATTAAGTATACACACAGTATATATCAGACGCCTTCTTTCAGATTTCTTCTTTTTCCTATTCCTCTCTATTCTTCTTACTGTTTTTGTTTTATTCCATCCTCGGAAAAATTTTCCGAGCTTCTATAGGCATTTTTAAGATTTTCTGCCTCTTGCTTCTTCCTTTCGCATCTGGATCACGATCTAATACGACGCCAGTACGCCGGGCGGGGTCGGCACGACCACTGTATGTTGCGGGACGACGGGGGGCGCCGGTGGCGCCAACGGGTGTCCGACCAGGACTGCCGCCGCCGCCGGTATCGGCAAAACACCGGTTTGCGGTATAGCTGACGGCGTGCTAACCTGCGTCGGCGGTCCTTCGGCCGCGTGCTTGCGCAAGTGTCGCAGCATATTGCCCTTCTCGACGAAGGTCTTGCCGCAGTCCGGGCAACTGTGCGGCCGCTCGTCCGAGTGCGAGCGCCGGTGTGAGACCAAGTGTCCTTTGCACATGAAATCTTTGGGACACAGATCGCAGCGGAACGGCCTCTCGGCGTTGCTGCCCTTGTTGTGCGAGCGCATATGGAAGAGAAGATTGCCCTTCAATGGGAAACTCTTGCCACATTCTGTGCACACAAATGGACGTTCACCGGTATGGCAACGCATATGATTCACAAGATGTTCCTGCAATGGAAAATGGAAAGATATGAAGAATATCACTCATTATGTTATGCAAATAGAGATCCGATTAAACCTTTAGCTACAAAGCTAGTGCGTGTATATTAAAATTAAAAGCGTAAAAATGGGTTAGAGTAAAAGAGTTTAATTAAATTCTCAATCAATATTTTTGTCAAATGAGAATTTATTCTTGTTAATTTATTATGCATAGTATATATTGTTGCACACACAATATATTATTTATATATTATTATCTTGTACCAATTAATATAGAAATAATGAATGCAAGGAGCAAAAAGTATTTTCATGTCTCATAGCTAAAGGATTAATTAAAATTTCGTTAAACATTAAAAATGTAAAAATTGTGTGATACGCGTTGCTAATATTATATAGAGAAATTTGAATCATATTTTACGTTTCGAACAAGTATTATAAAATAAATGAATTATTAGATCGTTTAAAAAATTGAAATTGCCAATTTATTTGATTCTACTTTTTAATTAAATATGTCAACACCAAATGTAAATCGTTATAAATCTTACAACAAGGCCAACGTACCTTTCTTGTGAATGGTTTGGAGCACACGTTGCAACAATGTGAGGAATCTCCGGTATGTTGACGGAGATGATTATTTAGGTGTTCTTTCCTAGTGAACGTCCTCTGGCAGAACTCACACCTATGTGGAGATTCGCCAGTGTGGATGCGCACATGATTCGTCAAATGCTCCTTACGAGTAAATGACTTGGAGCAGAAGTGGCATCGGTGTGGCGATTCGCCTGTATGTTGACGCACGTGATTGGTCAAATGTTCCTTCCGCGTGAAGGATTTGGTGCAATACTGGCACTTGTGCGGTGACTCACCCGTGTGCTGCCTGACGTGGTTCACCAGGTGATCCTTCCGCGTAAATGCTTTCGGACAGTATGAACAGCGGAAGGGCGTCTCCCCTGTACATATTTTACAAGCGAATTCGCAACGTTTGAGAAAAAAAAAAAATTAAAAAAAAAAAAAAAAAAAAAAAAAAAGGAAACATTTTTCGTCATTCAGAACTCAGTGGAGTTATCCTGCACAAGGCGAGTTTTGCCTGACGCAACGCACAGAGAAGGCATAATATCGAACGGAATAAATCCTGATATATTTTCTGTCTCTTTCTATATCTAGAAATTAAATTTACATATTAGAAATACATATCTTGTATTAAAGCTAACGTATTTAAAGTTAAAACGCGTAAAAGATTCTAAACAAAAGACCAATCAATCGAATATATATATATATATATATATATATGTATATATATGTATATATAACTTTGTATATATCAAATACTGAAATCCTATTACACTACTATTACTTTCAGCATAAAACTTTCTATTTCGCGATTAAGAAGCAAGTATTATTTTTTTCTCGAGAATCTCGTATCTAATCTATCACAATACTCTGTATTAGCGTTAAAACTAAAACTGAGCTCGAGACTTGTGCCATCAATGACAATGAAATGAAGTTATAGGAGCAATAAAATTATTTACAAGTCTCCGACATATAAAATACAAAATTTGATTGATAATTTTATCGAGGATGCAAACGAGAGTTATGAACACTTATAAATGCAAGGAACTTTTGTGTGGAACGCTGTTAATAAAAGGTATGATATGAGAGCGGTGTATTAGGCAGAACAGCAGCAAATGTTCTTAGGAATTCAATGATGATGGGAGATTTTTTTTGCGATGATCAGATCGAGTTAGATGCGCGATGGTGTAAACATTAAGAGATACGTACGATGAGAGCGACTGAATGAGAGTGAACTTGTGGTGAAATTTTATGACGACCCCGTCTAAATCAAATCTCATGCAAATGTCTGATCCTCAGCTAAATGCATCACACACATATACAGGGTATTTCAATTCTAGCAGATCAATCATTAATGCCAGAGTCCCTTAAATAAAGACAGACTCTGATATTTAAATGTTGAAATATATAATAGTTTGAGTTATGATTAATTAAAAATATAAAGATTCTCGCGATATAAACTTTAAAAGGTTAAATAGATAACAGAATTTTATTCTTTGTTCAATTTCAAATCAAGTTTGTTGCAACGTAACGTTTCATTTCAAAGATGTTTCATGTTATAACATACAGTGAGCATTCTATTTTCCTTAAGAAAAGATCGATTCTATATTTGTCAATAATTGCTTTTAAAAGCCGTGAATCCAGTAGAAGTGAAATAGCCCGTATGTAAGCCAGATGTGTGAAACCGGAAGCAAATGGAGAAACGAGTGTCTCGACTCGTGTTCGATCGCATCACCTAAATGTGATGTTACGCACGAGGTGACTCTCGCAGTCCCTAATTGATCTCTTAATTCTAACGCGTAAAAGATTCTAAACAAAAGACCAATCAATCGATAAGTTGTGTCAGTTGTGGTCCCAAACCTCTTTTTTACGGGGTGTAATACATTATAACAATTTCAGTCTTTAATAGTCTAGTATTAACAGAATTAATTCAATTGTTTAGGATTTTTACCTAATATTGCAAAGAATTATTGTTAATTATTTTTTAGCGGAAAAAAATATCATCCGCATGTGTGAAAAATCCTGTGCTACAGATATTGTACATTCGATATATTGCCGTATCCGTACGTTACATCAAAGGAAAGTCAGCTTGTACAGCAAATGTTACGCACGAGGTGACTCTCGCAGTCCCTAATTGATCTCTTAATTCTAAAAAAAAAAATAAAATAAAATAAAATAAAAAAAAAAAGAAAAAATACTGATCTCTTTCTTTTTCAATATATGTACATAAATAGGTCACGATAATACAACTACTCTTAATAGAGATAACGATTATATCGGTTGCCCGTGAAGTGAACATCTGCCAACCGCTCTCACCTGTGTGTTGGCGGATGTGGTTAACAAGGTGTTCCTTTCTGGTGAACGATTTGGAGCAGAAGCCGCATCGGTGTGGAGACTCACCCGTGTGCTGGCGAACGTGGTTCAGGAGATGCTCCTTTCGCGTGAACGTCTTCGAGCAGAAGTCGCAGCGGTGCGGCGTCTCACCCGTGTGCCACATTATGTGGTTCGTGAAGTGCTCCTTCCTCGTAAACGACTTACCTGTACAACGGCAGCGAAAAACAGAAAAAAAGACCCAAAAACAGGCACATTTTATTAGATTGCAATTGTCAAATGAGACAGATAAATGCGTATAAACAATAGGACGATTCCAAATACACATATTATCGTTAGACACGAATCATGATTGTGTCATTATGAATCATTAATGGTCATTATAAGTTATGCGAAAATAAACTTGCGAGATGTTTCCCTTCTTTTTACACGTATAAAAGCATTAAAATCATATTTTTCAACCTATAAATTGATTAAACTATAATCACACCCATGAAATTACAAAAAATGATGTATGGAAAAAGATTATCGACCACCGATTTGTCAACAGTAATTAGATCGCCAAAAAATTTCCAAATTTTGCATATGATTGACAATACATATTTAGAAATTTCTCTTAAAATATCTAACTGCGAAAAATTAAATAAAATTTGTAGAATTTGTATCGCAGAAATTTTTTCCATTTCCATTTCTAAAAATTACACTAGATATAGTCAACGTGCGCTTGTATATATACATGTATCACGTGACATGTAATAGGTCGATGCGCATGCTTACAGCCCTATCGAGTAAAAATACAAAATTTCGAATTTCCCACTTTATGGCAGATGCGACTTTTACATTTACATCTGTCCGCGATCGCGTACCAAAGTTACTGAAAATATAATTATCGTGCCGTTAATTGCTTCCCCTCAATACGCAGTTAACGATTTACACAAAATCAATTTTGTTGCCAAATATCGAATCCATTACAATACTCGAGTGACGTGTAAACGAAATCGATGAATTCTGCTGCAGCGCCGACCATTTAATTTGCAGTAGTAATGATTAAATTGCTGATGCAAAACCCCCGCGAGCGTTATTACAATTATATTTAGATCAATATAATAAAATGATATTGTTAATGACGCGATAAAAAGCCAAGTTTATTCTACTCGATTGGCAAAGAGTCGAGGCCCTTCGCGACAAAGACCAGCATCCTGGTCACCGATCAAAAACAACTGCGAAGAAAGCAGTCTACATCGCGGAATTAATTTCGACATATCATCGATATAAAAATGGCAAAACGTGAATATATCGGGGATCTGAGATGACGAATAATACAAGCAAGCGAAACGAGCGAGCGAGGGATAAGGTGAAAGAACGTTATACGAACCGCTTAAATTTACGAAATAGCAAGTCATGCCATCACAGTTCACGGCCAAATGTTGGATGAGAAATAAAGGGCCCCTTATAGAGAGCCGGCCGGCGGTAGCAGCCTCGCACGATTTCCGAGGACTGAAAACGGAAGAAAGGGGTTCCCCGTCCCCAGAGGACTGAAAACGGAAGAAAGGGGTTCCCCGTCGTCGTCGTCGTCGTCGTCGTCGTCGTCGTCGGATGGGAGGTGGGCGGGTAGACGAGGGCAAGCGCACCGACACGATCACAATTCTCTAAGGTTAGAGGAGCACCCCCTTGCCACCGCGAAGGAATGCGCACGACCCGCGCCCCGCGAGAGCAGACCGGCCGGGCGAGGGAGAGAAAGGGGAGGCAAGAGGGGGAGAAGAGAGAGAGAGGGAGAGAGAGAAAGGGGAGGCAAGAGAGGGACGATAAAGAGAGAGAGAGAGAGAGAGAGAGAGAGAGAAAGGGGAGGGAAGAGGGGGAGAAGAAAGAGAGAGAGAGAACGAGGATGGGCGCGGAGGGAGAGGCGGCTACTCGCGATGCGCGATCAATTCTCGCGAATTTTATTTCACCGCGCCATGTATATAAACCGGCGCGGCTCTGCGGCCGCGACATGCGTACAGCGCGTTCGACGTAACTCATGTCAATTCGCGTATACGACTCGAGATAGAAACTTCAAGTCCCATCGATTCCGCGCTTACGTGGCAGCGTCGATTAAAAATTTTTTTTTTATGTTCTTAGTTTTTATAATCTCCGAAATTTTGCGGAGTTTGAGATTTGTTCGCGTTTCAGAGATGCAGAATTCTCCCGACAATTTCACAATCTATCTTTATGAAAGCGTTCAGATCATCTTTATTTCTAATTATATGATTGCTATTGAAATTTCTATTTTCATATAAATGTACAGAGAGATTTTTATATAGTGTCTACTCAAATTTGGTAAAAAAAATTCTCTGAGAATTCCTTGATATTTTTCAGATATTTTAATTCAAAATTTCAAGTAAAATTAAAGATTTTTAAAATAGATGATAAGTTAAATGAATTGAGCTCTTTCTCTCTTTCTGTCTGTCTTAAATATTGTACATATCTAAAATAAAATTATATTATTTATTTTTATCACATTAAAATTTAGTTGTTTTTTTTTCTCATGATCTTTGCACCAATCATAAAGATAAATTTTTAATGAAAATAAATTAATAACTTTATAAATGCATAAAATTAAATTGTCTAAATTAATATTATAAATCATAGATATATTAATAATACAACAATTAAATTATTTATCCGCTTTCTTTTAGATTGCATGAATATATTTTCCTCATTGGGAAACATTGTACATCTCTGTAAACGGAATCCTCATTTCTTTATTTAATATTAAAGAAATGTTTCAAGTATTCAGTTCAGAGTAAATTGGCAAAAGTAATACATGGCAATAAAAGATAACTATACATATATATATAAACAATTTAAAGCTTACAATGCGTTCTCTGAAAAATATACACACTGTATCGATTCTTTATATTAACGCAAATAAAATACTACCAATGTATATTAAAAAGCGCATATGTTTTTCACATCTATACAAAAACATACTAATAAGCATATTTGTTATATTAAAACTAAACTAGCTTGTAAAAAAGATAAATTTGATTTTAAAAACTAAAGTTAGATTATGGATCAGATTTACTTTTTATCTTAGTGGTATTTAATCATAGTACTCCACTTTTAATATAATGTTCAATACATTAAAATAACAGATTTTATAACACCGGAATCTATAATTGCGAGTTTTACTACATCTCATTAAGATAAACATTAATAAGAATTTTATATTAAAAAATACATAACTTTCAAAAATTTTAATAAAATAAAAAATAATTAATTTTTTCATTTTAGTATTAATATATATATAATACTAAAAAAATAAATCACATGTACTAAAATTAAATTTATAATATCTTACTTACCTTATTAAAGCTTCACATTTCACTAAACCTACATTAATCGTATTTTTCCCCGCCCTTGTGATAAAATCATTTAATAAAATATATTTAATATTTTATTAAATGTGTGTGTTCTTATCCTATAATGATCGATTATCACTACATGCTCTTTATATAATTTCTCACAGAATAATTTTTTAGAATCATATTTATGTTATAAATTGCTGATATTACGTCGAGTATCAGAAGAATGTAAGGATTAAAGTATTGACAAATTCAAATAACTAAAACTAAACAGGCTAATACAAGCTAATAAACACAGGTATTTATGTGATGATACATTCGCCAACACTATTGAAAATGGTGGGATAATTTTTACTCGTGTCCTCAATCAAAATACAAATATGATGACTATAAATGATAGCTGTATTTCAGTTGCATAAGACTAGGAGAATAAAGGAATATAGATTTTTGTCATTTTCAACATTGTTATGAGATAAAAATGAGTGTTATCATCACACAAATATCTATGCTTCTGAGCTCATATTGGCCTGTTTATTTTTAGAGAATTGCTAAATACGAGCCAATCTCCCTTCTATTTGCAAAAATTGAATACGTGTCAAATTTATAGAAAAGAAGACAATTGTAAATTTAGAAAGTTTCTGGAATCGTCCCATTAAATACATCATTGATTTGCTTCGTTAAAGATTTTACGCTAAAAATGTTTTTCTTTTTCACCTGATAATTATTTTTCAAACAAAAATTGTCATTTGCGTTTTTTTAAATTTCGCGCAGAAAGATATAAAAAATAGAAAATTGCATAACTCACCGCATATTTCACAACGGAACGGAGTGTCGTTCGTGTGAGAGCGCATATGGTTAGCGAGATGCTCTTTACGTGTATACTTCTTGCCGCAGGCTTGGCAATGATGAGGGGTTTCTCCTGTATGCCACATAACATGGTTCATAAAGTGTTCTTTGCGAGTAAAGCTCTTCTTGCAAATATCACATCGATGTGGAGTCTCACCAGTGTGTTTGCGAACATGATTTACCATGTGTTCTTTTCGGGTAAATGTCTTCGAACAGTATTGGCATCTGCAACACAATCGTGTCACAATTTTCTTTGTTATTTTTTAAACGTCAAATAATTAAGATTCTTGAGAATAAATAGAAAACACAATTTCTAATGGAAAAAGATTTGTGATCTTTTAATGATATATATGTATATATATACATTATATATAACTATTAAAAATATTATTTATATTAAAACACATCATTGTCACATTTGAAATTTATATATCAGTTCTAATTATCTCATTTTGAGAAATTATACGAGACTTACCTGTACGGTGTCTCGCCGGTGTGACATCTCGTATGGTTATCCAAATGCTCTTTGCGCGCAAAGCTCTTACCACACACTGTACAATTGTACGGTTTGTCGGTAGCATGTCTCTTCATATGGCGTTCCAGCGAAGGTGCATTCGCAAAAACATGAAAGCAGACTGTGCAAGTGAACATGGATCCACCCAAATGGCACTTGCCGTGACGCGTCAAATCGTTCGCGTTTGAGAACGCTTTACCGCATACCTGAAATCGTCATGAATTTAATATCGACTTGTATACCTGCATTTTGAATAAACCGCTACTGCATGCGTAGATTCACTGCGCTGTGTACCTGACACGTAAACGGCTTTCTCTCGGTATGATATCTGCGATGCACGATGAGCTGATAACGAAATTGAAAGATCTTTCCGCATATCTCGCAAGCGTGACTGCCAACCGACACGGGCGACGCACTCGGACCGGGAGTCGCCTCGCCGTCACTCGACTTTATGTCAAATTTGTTCAGTGGAACCTGTTGCACGATTGGAGTACCGTTCTGTATCGTGGTAACTGTCTGCGTAGGAACAGTGCTACCCACTAGAGTCGTTCCAGCCGCAATTTCGCTTTGTAGCTTGCCAAAGACTTCGTGATAAGCCAGGAGTTGATTAATATCTTCAACGTTCACCTGTCGAGTAAAAGACAAGAATTTATTGGACTGCAACTATTGCACAACTTTCAGATATAACTATTACAACGTTGTGTTTCGCACCTTGTACATATTTTGTACCATTTCGACGCCGAGAGTTTTCGCCAAATCCTGCTCGTTACCCGCGCTAATTTTCACAACCGATCCGTCCGCTGTTCTCACATCCATCATGTGTCCTCCTGGCTTTAAGTCAGGGACTTGGAATCTGCAACAACATTCTTGTTATCTATCTTAACATTGACGATTAAAGATGCAATATTTTTTTGCACATACTGTGTCATATTCAGTTGCCGCAATTCCTTTTCTTTCTCGGGCTTTTCAGAATTGTTTTGACTTCCCCCCTCGGTGGTGGAATTTCCGCTGATGTTGACCCCAATCTGCGACTGCTGCTGCTGCTGTTGCATCAAGCTCTGTTGAAGATCTTGCGGTGGTTGTAATTGCAGATCGCATTGAACTTGACAGTGAACCTGATTGTCGCTGCAACGCTCGGTGGTGCAGCTACCACCCTCGTCCTTGACTTTGTTGTCGTCTCGCTGCGCGTTTTGGCCGTGCCCTGTCGGTCCGTTGTTCTGGGCGTTCTGATGATTTGGTATCTGGTGATGAGATTGTTGCTGCTGTTGCTGCTGCTGCGACGGCTGCGCTTGCTGCTGTTGCTGCTGCTGATGCAGCTGCTGCTGTGCTTGTGCCTGCATTTGCTGTTGCATTTGTGCATGCGCAGCCTGCAGGTGACTTACGCTCGCCGGTATATGCGCGCCGTCTAAATTAAGGCCGGGAAGAGATACGGGAATCTAGAGAACAAAATACATATACGCGATATGTATTATTATTGTTATTTAATACGCATTTTTGCGTACATTGATAAAAAAACAAGAGCTTTAAACGAATAACTTATATACAGGATTAAAATTGTACGAGCTTTCATTGATATTTGAGCATTCTGCGTTGATGGTAGAAATGTATCAAATAATTAACAAATCAAATCTGTGCGTATACAAGATTGTGCAGCGTAACAAGTAGAGTGATAATTGATATTTAGAAAATAGTTTTTATACATAGAGCGATGAAACACAAAATAAAATTCTTTATAAAATTATGGCCATATTATAAATTTCTATATTTGAGCACTTCTCAAATATTTCTTTTTTGTATACGTGTATTATACGCCGTTAGCGGCTGTCATCGCTACATATGTCGCTTATTCACACGCATTTCCATAAAAGATTGTACGTGTTACCGTAATTGCGGCAAAAGCATAAGTCTAATCGCTGCTCGGATCAGAGTAAGCCGCATTCAAATTTTTAAGTCGTTACACAAAACACGTGCTACTACACATTAACAAACCTGCGGATTCGATTGCAGAGAACTGTGGTGACTGCTGCTGTTAACCGATGGCTGATGATGATGATGCGCGGCTGTAGATTGTTGTTGATGATGCGAGCTGGAAGTCAACGCCATTTCCTGATTCAGTGAAGAAGCTGACTCTTTGGAGGATGATGCCTCCCCACTGCCACCACTCCTATGCGAGGAGTTGTGGGGGGGATGATAGACCGAGACCTGAGGTAGCGTTCCAGGAAGCAATCCGTGAAAATTGAGGACCCAATACTTAGCTACCGAGGAGGCTAACGCTACGGCAGAACCTACAGTACGCAGGTCCGTGGATGAATGGGGGGTACTCCCTACATTGCCAAGACTCGCGGTCGCAGTAGCCAAACCACCTGGGTATGATGGACGACCACTTTGACCCGCGTTTACATCCTACCGATATACATTCAGACATTTGTACAACATTGATAGGGCATGCAGCGGCATGCACCAGGCTGAAGACCAATCGACAAATGCGCCACTTTTGATACATGTGCATCAACGCAAATAATTCCATGGATATATTCGTTATTGAAGAAAGTTTATACTATCGAAGAGAGTGATTGTTGGTGTTTCCGTGTTATGTATCGTGTGTACATTGAGAAGAAAACGCTCTATCATACACCTATCAAGCCATACAAACCGATCATAAATAGACACTATGTTTTCAAGCTCGCGTAAGTATATGCAACCTGTTAGAACTGGATACATTAAAATATTATATACTATAATGAAGATAAGCAAAGTGTTAGAGTTACAAGAGTAGAGAAATTCAAGCGTAAGCCATCTTGTGTACGTTGTATGCAATATGCTACAAGCATTTCTAACCTAAAAACTACAAATTACAACAGTCTAAATAATTGTAAAGATGCAAGGCAAAAATGTATAATAATGAAACTTAATATAAATAAGATAAATATAGAAATAATATAAATATATAAATTAAACACTGCATACAATTATTATTAAACGATACATCGTCTAAGTTTCTTAAATCATTAAAATATATATTTATCAAATTTTAAATCTAATTTGAAAGATAAGGCACAATTTGTTAAAGCAAATCAAAAATGAAACAATCCACGAATTAACAAGGCTCATTATACAAATGTCTTAATATATCTAACATCGGCATAGTGCATCCGTGTAATGATCATTTGCGCATTTGTAGTTTGGTGTATAGCCTGTTTCGATGGGAAAGTACCTCACCTCTTGTTGTGCCTGCGTAGTCGCTGGCAATGCATGCTGCTCACTATTCATCTTCGTTCACTGAAGGATATTAATTAAACGTGTCTGATATACTTCATTGTTCATCCTGTAAAATGCATTACGAAAAATTAATCTTTACATCGTTACGCGTGAAAAAGTGCTTAAAAACAATGGGTACAAAATGCGTACAAAATGTACGTAAGGATATTCGAGATTGAAGGGAACAATTCTAAACTATCATCAGTCGTACACGCTTAATTAGGGTGCGAAAGTGATGCACGGGCACTAATTAAATAACGTAACGCGCAACGGCAAACATATTGAATTCGTTGATGATTTTTATCATACAATATCGATTTTCGCAACGTATCAAACTGCACACCATATTACATTATCTTTCCCGATTTGCGCTTTCGGTACTCGAGTGTACACCTGAAAGAGCAAGAGTTTTGCCGTACGCCGTACGCGATCGACGGAATTCTACGCAGTCGCGATCTGCCTGATCTGCCCGATCTGTCAGGGATCGATCGAAAACGTGCTATCGTCCGCTTAACCTCGAAAAGTCTGCCCTGCCACGAAAGCGATGGACAGCAGGCAGCGAGTCGTGCGCGTAATCGCGTAATCGCGCCCGAGCTCCGAACGTCCCGAACCCGAATACGCATAAACAATCGCGTGAGGCGAACGAGCGCCGCGCGCGCGCGCGAGAGAGAGAGAGAGAGAGAGAATGACGATGACGATGACGATGACGATGACGATGACGATGACGATGACGATGACGATGACGATGACGATGACGATGACGATGACGATGACGATGACGATGACGATGACGATGACGATGACGATGACGATGACGATGACGATGACGATGACGATGACGATGACGATGACGATGACGATGACGATGACGATGACGATGACGATGACGATGACGATGACGATGACGATGACGATGACGATGACGATGACGATGACGATGACGATGACGATGACGATGACGATGACGATGACGAGCGAGAAAGAAACATCGTGTCGATAATACCATCATTATATTTTAACCTCGCGATATACTCTTAAAAAAAAAAAAAAAAAAGAAAGAAAGATAAAAAAGAAAAATATAGAAAACGCGAAACGGACGAGACGGGATGGGATGTTTTAATGGCGCGACCCCGCCGAGAGAGAAGAACCGCTACGACGGAGAAACGGACAGGCTTGTATCAGCGACGCGGCCGAATAGCAAGAGCCAACAGCGTCGACAACGGCAGCGACCGCCGGATTCTCGGCGGACGTTTGGTCGTCGGGCATCGTTTCTCGCCACCGTCGCCCGCTGCGCGAGTCATCGCCTCGTCGCTAGTTCGTTCGCGGAGAGCAACAAGGGGACAAGGGGCTCGACAAGATGGACGTGCTACGCGGATTCGGGGCGAGGGGGAAACGGACGCGCGGTGTGGCGCGGAGCGGCGCGCCGCGACTCTACTCGACTTTCCGCGACACGAGAGAGTATACGAGAAGAGAAATTGGAACTCACGTGGTGCGCGGTGCCGTCGGCGGTTCTCGCATCTCGTTCTCCGTCGGCTCCGAGGCCGCCTCCTCCTCGCCTCTTGTGCCACACACACACATATACAGACGGAACGGGGGAGACGCGCGCTCGTCGCGACACACGAAGAGCGCGGGGAGGAGGCGCGAGAAGGGAAGGCAGAGGGGGGAATCTCCGCACAGGCCTGCCACTGTCTGTCTATCTCTCTCTCTCTCTCTCTCTCTATCTCTCTCTTTTTCTCTCGACACTGCCGCGCCGTGCTCCTTTGGCCGTCTCTCGACGTCTCACCTCGCCATGAACGCCCACAAACAAATCACCGATAATGGCCACGCGCGCTCGCCCATCGTCTTCTCAATAACTGCAACGGGCAGCCCGACAAAGTCGGGATGCGGGACGGTCGCTTTCGATCGTGACGGACGCCGAGCCCCGCGAGATTTTCACGATAACGTCGCTCGCGAAGCCGCTACGTGCTCGCAATTAACAGAAAATACGACGACTGTCATGGCGGCCCCTCGCCCACCCCGCAGGAACTTACGCGCGCGCGGGGAACCGCCGAGTCGATCGTCGCGAGATCGAGTTCTCGGACGATTTTTGCTCCGCGGATGACCCGGCCGTATCGAATAATTAATTACTTGGCCAATCTCGCCGCGAAATATCGTTCTACTAGCTTGCATTCGTTTAGGTAAATGCATCTACTAGCTCATCTCGCCGCGTTCAAGCTGCGCGCGCAGCTATCGATCGCGCGCGCGTTTCGCCTACTTCCGCTGGCGGGAAAACCGCCCAATTACGAATGCGTGCAAAGTCCGTTAGTTCATTATTCGGGAATAAAAACCTTGATCTATATACAATATATAGGTGTGATATATACATATATAGCGTGCAGATGTAGTAGCGTGTAGATGTGGATATTTTTTTTCTTAGCATCTTTAATCTCTATGGCAATTAACCCAATCATCGGATTCTCTCTTTCTCTCTCACCGTGATTAAAATAAAGGGAAATATGTGTATATTCGAAATTATCCACTTTAATCGAGAGAAGAGAAAGATGGAGGAGAAATGTACAGAAAAAAAAAAAAGAAAGAAAGATAAAAAAGAAAAATATAGAAAACGCGAAACGGACGAGACGGGATGGGATGTTTTAATGGCGCGACCCCGCCGAGAGAGAAGAACCGCTACGACGGAGAAACGGACAGGCTTGTATCAGCGACGCGGCCGAATAGCAAGAGCCAACAGCGTCGACAACGGCAGCGACCGCCGGATTCTCGGCGGACGTTTGGTCGTCGGGCATCGTTTCTCGCCACCGTCGCCCGCTGCGCGAGTCATCGCCTCGTCGCTAGTTCGTTCGCGGAGAGCAACAAGGGGACAAGGGGCTCGACAAGATGGACGTGCTACGCGGATTCGGGGCGAGGGGGAAACGGACGCGCGGTGTGGCGCGGAGCGGCGCGCCGCGACTCTACTCGACTTTCCGCGACACGAGAGAGTATACGAGAAGAGAAATTGGAACTCACGTGGTGCGCGGTGCCGTCGGCGGTTCTCGCATCTCGTTCTCCGTCGGCTCCGAGGCCGCCTCCTCCTCGCCTCTTGTGCCACACACACACATATACAGACGGAACGGGGGAGACGCGCGCTCGTCGCGACACACGAAGAGCGCGGGGAGGAGGCGCGAGAAGGGAAGGCAGAGGGGGGAATCTCCGCACAGGCCTGCCACTGTCTGTCTATCTCTCTCTCTCTCTCTCTCTCTATCTCTCTCTTTTTCTCTCGACACTGCCGCGCCGTGCTCCTTTGGCCGTCTCTCGACGTCTCACCTCGCCATGAACGCCCACAAACAAATCACCGATAATGGCCACGCGCGCTCGCCCATCGTCTTCTCAATAACTGCAACGGGCAGCCCGACAAAGTCGGGATGCGGGACGGTCGCTTTCGATCGTGACGGACGCCGAGCCCCGCGAGATTTTCACGATAACGTCGCTCGCGAAGCCGCTACGTGCTCGCAGTTAACAGAAAATACGACGACTGTCATGGCGGCCCCTCGCCCACCCCGCAGGAACTTACGCGCGCGCGGGGAACCGCCGAGTCGATCGTCGCGAGATCGAGTTCTCGGACGATTTTTGCTCCGCGGATGACCCGGCCGTATCGAATAATTAATTACTTGGCCAATCTCGCCGCGAAATATCGTTCTACTAGCTTGCATTCGTTTAGGTAAATGCATCTACTAGCTCATCTCGCCGCGTTCAAGCTGCGCGCGCAGCTATCGATCGCGCGCGCGTTTCGCCTACTTCCGCTGGCGGGAAAACCGCCCAATTACGAATGCGTGCAAAGTCCGTTAGTTCATTATTCGGGAATAAAAACCTTGATCTATATACAATATATAGGTGTGATATATACATATATAGCGTGCAGATGTAATAGATGTGGACTGTGGATATTTTTTTTCTTAGCATCTTTAATCTCTATGGCAATTAATTTAAAATAATTTTATTGTTTTTAAATCGGAGAGTAGAATAAGAATGTGGTTATGCGGGCGATCACTGATCCATCCGCGCCATCTACATCTATTTTAGAATTAGAAATATACCGCTTGTTGCGCTACTTCGACATCAACATAGTGACATCTATGATTATTTCCATAGTTGCGTTCCAAAATTTATTTTTAGGAGTAAACTAGTAATTTTAGTGATTATATATATAATCACTAAAAAGTCAGTACTCGAATATATCGAATTGTTGCTTTTCCGTCTATGTATTTTGTATGTCTATGGTTATCATCGTGCAGAAATTGCATATTTTGACGGTTCGAATATTCAAGGATCTAGCAATGAGTAATTCTATGTAATTTTAATCATTAGATATAAATTGTATATTAAATTTGTTAAAAAAAAATACGTAAAGATGTTATGCTTGTTCCGAACGATTGCCATATACATATACTAATAATATATCGTTCTGTAAAAAAACATGATAACATTTATGTTTACATGCATTATATATGATTATATTTTTATGCTTCAAACATTTTTTTCGTTTTGAGATTTATTAATAATTCGATGTGAAATAAATAACGCGTCTATAACATAGGCTTTGTAATATCCTGATTAAAAAAAAAATAAGTTACAGAAAAGAAACACTTTTCACAAAAGTTATAAACAAAAGTTTAAATATATTAATTTCAAATAATCAAAAATACATTGTTATTTGCAAATTTCCACTAATATCTATTAATATCCACTAATATGTAACTTAATACATTACATTTTGATTCCTAATGTGTTAATCAATAACATCATGTACAAATAATCCTTGAGAGATACTATCTTAAAAGGAAGAGAGTAACAAGGTAGCAAAACTGAGAAATATATATTTGATACCTTCCTACTTTTAATACTAAAATAATGTAATCAATATTTACAATCAATTTGTACAAGTGGCCATTTTGGCCATATATATGTAATGACATATCCAACTTAAATGTATCTGTGGTGTACTTATGTACGCGTTCATATAAATAAAATTGTGACTATGTAAGATTTGTTTTTTTTTTCTCCACTTTGTTATTAAGCTTACATTGCCATGGTAATACAAGAGAAATATAATTCTCTTGAAATTCAGTGTATATGTATAATGAGCATTATATAGCATACATATCGCGCGATTCGAGTAATCAGTTTCATTCTGTGAAACTTCATTAATAATTGCGTACACAAATATTTGCAAAATTATAAAATTGTCCCGAAAACAAATAAGAATCAAATAAGTATACAGCAGGCGAGATACAAACAAATAAACATAAAAGTCACAGAAATGCGCTCCGATACTTGCGATGTGAAGAAACAGAAACATTGACTAGTATACTATATAATATACAATAATCGTTATTAGACATGTACAATATAGAAGTTAAATAAAGACCGATATTTATACAAGAGTTTTACAATTATTTGGTATCATTACGATTTTTTTTTCTATTGCACACATATACTCGGATATGTTCAAATCGAAGGCGTCGTTCGTTGTGACAAAATAACACAATGTTTAGAACATAAATACAGTTTCGTAAAAATTGAACAAAATTTGATGAAAATATACCATTGACGTTAAACATTTCGTGCTAGAACGTTCTAAAAAGACTAAAGAACTTGAATTTGTATTCAACTGACTAATTTTTCACATGATCAATTTTTCCCTGTGTGTGTGTTTGATTCAGTGAATGTATTCCATATTCTTAGCAATGTTTGTCAGTGTCTTAACGCTGATCAGCACTAAGTAATTCATTACGGAATATTGTTATCGAAAAACATTTTTAACAAGTCTGATTGTCTAAAATGGCGATACTTTGACGATACGCACAGACAACCCTAATCTCTCTTTTGCAAGTCTTATGTTTGGGGATATGTATTATTATCAGTCGATTTTACAATTCCGTAGTGATCTCGTCTTGCGGCCGGAAGCCGAGAATCGTAAAGTCGTCGATGAGATAATCGCGAGCGGGCGACCAGTCAGCTAGGATGGTGTAATTGGCCGCTTCCACGGGACTGCCCTGAAACTTCCATTGGGGATTCAGATCGCGATCTAGGCCGTCATTCATCTCGCGCTCGTCGCGCAACGCGCGGACATTGTTAGCCTCCGAGGGCAACGTGTCGCCATTGTAGCTGCGACTGAACGCAGAAATTGTCTGAAGTTCTTGGAGATGCGAATCACTCGTCATCCTCGGTCCTCCGCGCTGCTGATTGCTTCCGTAGACCAAGGGCGTCATCTGACCGATCGTCGAGCCATTCGGACTGAGCTTCTCGCCGTTGTAAGCGCCGGAAGTGCTGTTCTGCCCTAGACTCGAACCGAGCGGGCTGCTGTCCTTTACGTAACCGAGGCTCGAGCTCGCTGGACTAATGCTCGACTTGTCACTCGCTTGAAATGTCGCGAGCGGCACGTTTGCTTGGAATGTTGTGAGATTATTGTGAGTGCTTCTAGGTTCATATATGGGTTGATGAACCGGTGGTTGCGACGATGCCATGACCGGTTGCGCCGATAGTGACGGTGTCATTTGCAACGGGTTGCTCGTTGGCTGCTGGAGAAATGTCACGAGCTGAGCCACCTTAAAATTATTAGAAAATGATAAATATATTCGAGGATATTACTTGTGAACGTAAAAGAAAACAAATTGCTCAATCGAACTGTTGTTTAAAGGGAGAAGACTTTATATGACTAACTATCGCCTAACATATGCTTTTTTGCGTACAGCTGGGTATATATATGACTCACCAAAGTGCTTTAGGGACTGGCGTGAAAAAGAATTGAAAGTGTAAGATAACATCGATTGCGCTCGTTTTCATTCGATGTATATAGAAATAATCGCGTGCAAATAAGGATCTTACTTCTGGAGAACTGTGCCTCTTGTATCTTCTCAGCAGCCGTTCTGCCCACGAGAAAAGTCGTTGCCAATCATCGGGCGGGAGCGGTATCTCGTCGTCTCTCCTATTCACGAGGACCAGTATCCTCGCTAAGTCGCGTAACACTGGTCTGTAATATCAATTTTTTTCACATCACGCGAGTAATATTTCGTTAGAAAAATATTCGGACTAATTTCCCGTTGCCATGTTTATACCTGTACGCTTGGATTCCAACGGCACCGTCTCCGTTATTTCCCGAGTAGTACAACTCCCTGACTTGTCTTCTAGTGTCGTTGAGCATCGCGAGGAAGGTATGGGCTTCTCCACGAAGTGTGGCTAGATGTTTCAGAAATTCTCTCCTTTCCGCGCTGAAATGCGTAAATAGAAAAGCATTTAATGAATCTGCGGCACGGACAACACTGATAAAGAAGTAAAATGAAGATGGACCTGTCTTCGAATTGCTGTGCCAGCTTGGCTGCCTTCTTCTTACGCCGGTGCACGACTATCGCACCGCAGAGGATGATAAAAATGCAGATGGTCGCGCCGGAGAACACCCCAACTAAAATCGCAACCTGGCTACCGGTGAGGCCAAATATGTAGCCAGTTTCCCGACAGATGCGTCCCATATACTCGTCTCGAGTGGACCAGTCGGCGACGAAGCCCGGTGGGCAGGTATGCACGCAGGTACCTTGATATAGTAGGACGGCGCATCTGGCGCACGTTCCGTCTCTGCACCTCCTGCATCCCGTCTCAGACTCGATGCACTCTCCTGTGCCTGAAATCATTTAAAATTCACAATCATAATTTATTATCATAATTTATTATCCATATCGTTCTAGTCGCTTCTAGAGTTAATATATCCTCAAACACTGCATTTTAATCCTTAGATATCTAAGCGTGTTTTAAACCAATATTGTCATTGCTTTATTATTAAAATTGTTTAAGGAAATGAGACACTCTTATATCACTTGTTCTCTTATATTGTAAACATTGTTATTTATTTTTTATTGTTGATTGAAGATAGAAATAGGATAGTTATGAGAAAAATTATAAAGTTGTGGTTTTTCCTCCTCAAGGATTGCGTAAGGCTCTAATAATAAAGGTTAAAACCAACTTGAATCGTCACACTGGAATTCAGCATGCCTCGTAACTGAAATCTCATGTACGCCGCATTTCTCTCAAAAAAAAATTTCTTTGAAATCTACTTAAGGAAATTTATTGCAGAATATATATATAAGTAAAATAAAAAAATTGCAGTGGGCACTGCATAGTTGATAATGACTCTTAAATGCAGATCTACTTGTGAGCAAACTTTCATCTAGGGGAGTGATTCTTTAAATATTTATTTAGTAAAATGTTCGAGCGTATTAATAGCCTTCAAGGAAAGGTCACTGCACTCGGAAACTTCAACCTAAATGAACCTGAAACTATGTTTCGCGATAGCTCATCGCCGGACGGAAAAGTTTCGTGTCGTATAGCGGGTCGTCGTCGAGTCTAACATTCTCGTTTGTAAGTCTGTTACAGCGGTTAGTATATATGTACACAATGTGTAAGATACACACAGAGACGAAATGAAATGTGAATGGTATATTCGTTTGTTGGCAATTGTGCCATTTCCTATCCCTTTTACGTTTGACCTTGCTATTTCTAACGCTGTAACATCTTTTCTGTAAGTATATGTGTTGCAGTTATTTGCAAGTGTGTAAGGCAAATAAAATATTTAAAATATGTAAAATCAGACCAGCAAGTTGCTTTCATCTATGAAT